AAAAAGAGTTTGGAAAGTCGGTGAAATGCAAGGGTGTGTCAAAGGCCAAGTGGTCATCATAAACTCCCAGACAAACCTCCACAGCCTGCACTGAGCTATCAGGGATTTCCATGCTTGTTAAACTATTATTTATTTCATTTTAATTTTCTCTGTTGAAAAGTCAGAACAACATTACATAGTACATCATAAGTTGACAAAAAAAAGAAGAGAGAAATAGGGAATCTATTTAAAATTGAATAGATTAAAAATCATTAGGCCTACCAATAAACAAGATCTTTTTTCTTTCTTTCTTTTTTTTTTGCATTTGTAGTGCAATGCATTTATAAATAGCAGGTATTAGTGATTATTAGTACCAACAGGTGGCACTAATCTCTGTTGAAAATGGAATTTTAGGCTAAAACATTTTTTAAAAAGCTTTAATTGAGGATGCAATTCATATTTAGGGATGATGCAACATTATCTTAGTTATGTTTAGCTGAATTGGCAAATTCGTATGAATTTGTACAATCACATTCGTATATTTTAGTTTGACCTGCTTATGCCCCATTGACAGTTAGGTTTAGGGGTGGACCGTAATGCTTATTTCTTTATTAAAATTGCACATTTCAAACATTTTTAGAATTGACATAAACTCATAATTTTGACTTTTTTTCTTGCAATTCTAATTATTTTATAAAAAGTTATGAATGAAAAGGCATCTAATTTTTTCACTTCTGCACAATTCTGTGAAAGTCTACACTACCTAAACTAATCCTAACCATGCAAACCCTGCCATACTGAAGAAGAAGACTGAAATATATCATGCTCACCCTCTTCTCAGAATAAGTAAACTGGTAGAGATTTCAAGGAAATTAAAATCTACAACCTAACCTAACATAAACTAACCTAACCCAGCCCTTACAAAAGTATGTGTATACCTTGTCTCACTACTTGCACACCCCTAAGTGTTTCCTTAGCATAAGTTTAGCAGCAAACTTAATCTTAACCTGTACTCTAACCCTAACTAGAGCCCTAAGGTCTACACCAAAACTAACCAGGGTTATTATAGTAAAATAAAATAAAATTAAATTAAATTAAATTAAAAATAAATAAATTAAATTAAATTAAATTAAATTAAATTAATAATTGTTTGAAAAAAAATATGTTCAAAGAATTAAGCATAAAAAACTTAAAAACATTTTAAAAAAATTTAACTAAAATGAAAATTAATAACAAAAATCTCCTGGGACTAACCTGGGACTATTACTGTAACTTAAAACATTTTGGCCAGCATGCATAAGTGGGGTGTGAAAGATGTGTGCCTCCACAACTGCAAATTAAATATGAGCACACAGATATATCATCTCAGCACTGCACACGACTATTTTATGAGTAGGACTGCATCCTATAGGTTAGGTGGTTTGTACGGTGGCGAGAAGTGCAAAACAAATCAAAATTCTGAAAACAAAATAACAAATTACAAACGCAAATGCAAGTCTAAAAAACAAAATAACAATTCAGAAAGCACAACAACAATTCAGAAAACATTATAACAAGTCAGAAAACACAATGACAAATTCGAAAACAAAATAACAAGTCAGAAAACACAACGACAAATC